CAGTCTTATTCTTGAAGAGCAGTATAAACATCCTTCAGGAATCCTGCCATGACTACCAGTCTGAGTCTGGCATAGAAGACATGAAGAAACTTCCATCAAAGGTATTACACCAGGTATGTGTTGCAGACGCCTGGTCCAAACACATGAGCTCCATCCACCTCACCATGCTTCCAACATCACTCATGTCAGCTGTGAAAGATCTAGAAGAAATTCCCTGCCTGCTGAATGGGGCAACAAAGAACTCTCTACTCTCCGATCTGCTTCTCAGGCAGCAAAGTGACTTGCTACCAGCTTTGTATTTTAATAAATATGAAAAAGAATAACTCTGACTTGATTGTTCTTGTTGACTCGTACCCATTTCAGTAATAAAATATGTCTGGCAACTAACTATTTACTAATTAAAATTATGTACTATGTTAATAATATAAGTGTCTATTTAATTAATGTGTGTATTATCACAGTTATCTGAAAGCAAAGGCAGATTAGATTGCTTCTGGCACTAGCCTGAGGGAATGGCAAAACAGCCTGGCTTCACTGCCTACCTTCATCAATCAGAGCCCCAGAAAGCCAAGTGGGCTGCTGCAATGCTACTGCCACTGAAGGAACAAGGGACAGTGCTGCAGAACGTGTGGCAGGTCCACTCTCCAGAGCTTCTTTTCCTCACCATCTATACCCCACTGTCAAATAAATCTTTTGATTCTTGCTAAAGATTCCCATGGAGAGGTACAATAATAGTCTCCTTCAAAGACTCCCTTCTGCCCTGTCTTTCCAGCAACACGAGCAGATTGGCATAGGCTCTTCATCCTCAACAATGTTGACAATGTGCCTAAACAGCTCAGGAGCCTTGAGCAGGCTTCAGTAAAGCACTCTGACAGCCTAATCCAGGATTTCTACAGTGCTACCAACAATAACTGGAATACCATTTTTTGACACTAATGAGTAAGAACATTCAGAATCATCTAGACCACAGATCCAGGCAACAGATGCTTTCCAACGCCATCCCTGGCATATGAATCAGTACTCACCACACGGAACTGAGAACATGGCCTGCATCACAACAAATGCGATTACCTTAAATACAGCATCAAACATCATAAAACAGTGTCAACAGAGAACATCTTCATCTGTCAATATCTGAGCAGTAGATCTTACTGATAAACCAGAAACAGTGTGGATTAGCTAGACTGGGGAAACAACTCAAGGAGTTAGGGTTCTACTACATAAATAACAATCTAGGAGAAACAAGTCTGAAAGTGTACATGGTATACAAAAGGGGCAGTAAGACTGAGACAAAACCTTACTTTCTGACAAATCACTGAAAACAAGAGACATCAAAAAAACTTGTATAGCAGCATGTTCCAGACATATTTTGCATTTTACCTTTGAACTCAGTTTGCATAAAGAGAAGCACAGGAGCAGAAATACCCAAAGGGAAGCAAGGAAGCAAACAAAATGACTCATCTTAGTTTATACAAAACACAACAGCATGAGTGTCTGTACTGAACAAGATCAAAGATCCCACTAGCCCAGCACCCTACCTCTGACAGTGGCCAAAGCTCTTTTAAAGAACTGAGAACACAACAGGCAAATGCATAAATCATCAAGAAGCTTCTATGCTCTAACCAATACTGACAAACTGGATGACAGAAGGTTATACCAGCCTACGGGTATTAGCCTGAGGAAACAATGTTTTACTTTATTCCTAATTATGTTGTCAATTTTTTCTCTAACAAACTAACAGATTTTTAATTAAGATCTCCTGAACCTGGTATTGGAGACTTGTGCATCAGGGAAGGACGGTTCCCACAAGCTGCCTCTTGTTCTTGAGAAAAGACAGTGCTAGGAATAAGAAGTGGTCTAGTTTCTGCATTAAGTAAGGTAACTGTAGACACAAATAAATGGAAGCAGGAAGAGGGGAACTGTTGCAGCAGAAGAAAATACTTTATTTGAAGCTCAATGAACAATCCCTAATCCACTATAAACTAAACTCGTATGATAAAATTAATGTAGTTTGACATCCAAGATCTTCAGTGATTGACTTTCTATACATGTAACAGGATTTGATAGCATAGGTGGACATGAAAATGGAAAATTACGAAAAAAGTTGAAAGAGTGGAAAAAATATTCTAAAGTTACAAAACACACTAGGAGAAAAGAAGTAGTCACACGAACATATAGGCAGCTCATCAGTTACACACAGAGACTTAATCACATGAACTGTGGTGCACGGATGAACCTCTGGACCTGTATGGATCAGTTTGTAATTACTACACCACATAAATTAATATCAGTTAACTTATATGAGTGTGACTGAATATTCTGTTGGTATTTTACACATATATCTAAGACAAATTAATTGATGAAATGTGAAATTCCAACCCAGAAAAATAGCTCTGCCTCACCAATGGCTAAAATGTTGTCTAAATGCAGAAGACATTCTATCCCAATTCGTGTTCTTGAAGTTTCCACAGATTCATGCATACCCTGTTTTTTCTAGCCAGCAATGACAGGCCATTCTTCAACGCTCCTGAAAATTGCTGGAGTTTTATACTGTTGCTCAATACAACAGTAGAGAGAATTTACTCAAGTTCATTTTAGTCAGGAGGACTCCGTGTCTTATGCTCCAGAGGAATATTGGAAAACACTGTCAATGGGATATTTCAGAGCTTTCTTATCTTCAGAATTTGTCATTTATAAGATGTTATCATCTTTAGTATGTTATTCTGGAAACTTACTTAGAGGTAATGAGCAGGAAATTTGGCATTACTTTCAACATCATTCTCCGTAATTATTTCTAAATCATAGTACAAAAATATTTTTCCACTCTATGATTTATGCAGCTTGTGCTCTTGTGCACTTTCTGATGACTCAAAATTTCAACAGGCCCTCATGACATTATTTTCAGCTTTCTATGTGCAGCTGGAGCTGGTGGGCCATATATTACAGGACTATCTGCAGCATCATGTTAAGAACTTTAAGTCAAGTCACGTGCAAAATCAGCATATACAAATTAAGTTTTTTAATGTCTGTGCCAAATCCTATACATCAGTACTGAAGTAGATTTAGTTTGCAATAGCTGAAGATGAGCTGTCATTCCTCTTTTGCATCTTGTTCCAGTGACAACTGCTTCTTTGATTTTAATTGCAAGTAGCTTCTCCCTATTTTCATGGTTTTTTACCCTCTCATTGTCAGTCTCTGTTTCTCATTGGCCCATAATTTGAAGCAAGTAACTTTGTACTTCTTATGATGCTTATACAGCACCTCATACAACACCATTCTGCTGTCTATTAAGAATTTCTGGGTATTCTGGTACTTGCTTTGCTTGAGCTTTCTGCTTAATCTAAGTAGAAGAATAGGTGTTTTCAACTTTCAGAGCTCTTAACACTACAGAAATGGGTTACAATTTGTGAGCTAGATTACAGGGCCTCATGAAAAGACAAGACCACTGCAGGAGACCAGGTTATAATCAAAAGAACATGTCAAGGACAATGATTTGTAATTAAACAGTTAAGAGCAGGATGCTATATGAGCACAAAAAGAGGGAAGAAAAAAAAAAAAAAAAAAAACACAAAACACCAAAACATTTAACAGCCTTGCTTTGGTATGCCAATTGTTTTGTTTGTAGAATGAAGTTCTCAGACTTAATTGGAGCTAGGCAGAGGAAGAAAGACTAAAATGGAATGGTATGTTTCAGAGAGTGTGCAAGGTAAACAATATGTAGACAGGATGAAATAGATAATTGATGGGATATCTGGTGGATTTGGGAGGGGGAAAAACATCTGTCCATAGATGGATCATACTGCACCCCAATCACAGTGTGACGTGGTAGAGATGTGTGACAGAGCTGTAATTCAGTGGTAGTTGTGTGTAATGGGTAAGACTTAAGGGTGATAAACTCAGATCTTGCTACAGTGTGAGGAATTACAGAATTGCACATTAATAATAGTGATGTCATTAATAACTAGGTCATTTAAGTGATTTATTAGATTATTAATAGTGGGTTGACTTAATGATAAACATCATAGCCTCTCATCTCAAGCCTGTGGTCTAAAGAAGTTAAGACCTCAGGTAACAGCTGACCTCTCACCCCTTCATCCTTTGAAGGACATTTTGGGATTAGATGTATTAGTCTGCCAAATCCTTAAGGACTGCAAACCATTGGGGTGAGTTTTACCACTCATTTCATGAACTTTAATTAAGGAAAACTGGCACCATTTCATTTCAGCTTAGTTGGTGCAAACCACTAAATAGATCTTATTTGAAGAATAGTTTGCTTTAGGTGAATTAAAGCTTCATCTTAATTAAATAATCTACTTTTAACAGAAAAAAAAATGATGGAAAGTTGAAAACCAAATCTTAACTAAATCAGTTTCTATTCACGTGCTCAGGCAGGCTTATAAAACGTTCTTATGCATGCTAACACTTGCCTAAGTACTTAGCTCTCATGCATTGATGCATTTTTGAGCGGGTTTGTATTGGATACAGCATAATTTCTACCTTCCCTCCTTCAAGAGCTTTTTCTGCACTTGTGTTGCACAGCACCTGCCGGGACTTTGCCAGCAGCCACTTTCTTCAGCACCAAGCCAGGATGATGCCCACACAGCCCCTAAGTCACATTCCCAATATACTGTCTTTTTACAGAGTGGGCATTTGGACGGTAAGTGGCTTTTTTTCCCTTTTTTTTAAAAAAACCCTTCCTGGTGCTCGGCAGCATTTTTCCCCATGGCTGCCCAACCTCAGCAGCTCGCCCTCAGACGTGTGTTAGACAAGGGGGGCTGCTTCCCCTAGTACTGCTTCTCATTTGCCAAGCCTGGATATGCAAAAAAACAAACAAACAAACAAACAAACAAACAAAAAAGTAATTATTAAACAGTTTTCTGTTGTGGTTTTTTGGTGTTTTTATTTTTTTTGTTGTTGTTTGTTTGTTTATGAGACAGGCCCCAGCCTTCCTGCTTTCTGTTCCCGCACCAGCCCGCCCTTGCCGCTGCCCTTCTCCCGGGGAATCGGGAGGCCCCCGCCCCAGCTCCCCGGCGGGCCTGGGGCGGCGCGGCCGCCCCCCATCACGGCACCCGCCGCCCGCCGAGGCGAGGCCGCAGCCCGCCCCACAGGCGGGCCCGGGGAGGGCGGGCGGCGACCATGGAAACGGAGCGCACGCGGGGCGCCGCCCTCCTTCCCGCCGGGTTGCCGCGGCCGCCGCCATGATGCTGTTGGGCCGCGGGCTGGACGCCAGGTAACGGGGCGGGCGAGGAGCGAGGGAGGCCCCGGGGTGCCGCCGCTTTAGTTGCCTGTTGTGGGGCTCCGCCGCCCCGCCGGAGGGCTGGTGCGGGGGGCTGGCTGCGTCTCGCCTGGCCTTGCCGGGCGGTGGAAGGGGGGGAGGCCCCGACTCAGTCAGGGTACGCAGGGAGCGGCGCGGGGGTTTTGGGGGCGACGCGGGCCCGGTCTTCCTGAGGGCAGCCAGCCTCCCTCGGGGCGGAGGGGCCTCGGATTTCCTCAGGTAAACTTTTCTAGGCTTGGTGTGCTCTGCAGAGGTGACGTAAAGACTTGCCGGTTTAATCGGGCCTCGCTCGGTAGTTTTGTGGGTGCCTCTAAGCGGTCACAAATAATTAGGAGGGGAAAAAAAAAAAAAAAACCACCTTTTCACACCCCCATCTAAGGAAATGTAGTGTTTCATGTCCTAGAATTAAAAATTATTTGCATAGGAGCGCTGTGAGATCAAAATTGTAAAGTGGGTGAGGAAACGTGCTTAAAGCTTCCCACCTAGGGGAGGAACAGTTTCTGACATTAAGATCTTTCAATAAAATGGGAAAGATGTACCTTTTACTCAAGATTTTATCACTATTAATTTTGAAAGATGAGACTCTGCCTTTCTCACTCACTGGGTGAAACCTTGCCTATTCAAATAGTTCTGTGCTCAAGCATGTCCTGGAAGACTGAACAACTTACTTGGAATTTTTTTTTCTTTGATCAAAATCTCTTGAACAGTCCTCTAGACTGCTTTCCATGAAGCAACACAACTAGGTTTTTGCCTGTAGCAGAACTTTGGCCTGAAATATTTTTCCTGAAGAGTTTCTGAAGAAAGGTGTTCTTAATTTGAATTGATTGCATAGTCTTAAAGTATTTAATTCCTTCCAAATTTTCTGATTTTCATGTGTCCTGGTATTAAGTCAGTATTTAAATATTGATTAGCATTTGGAGTTGGAATAGCTTAAGGATATGATGGAAGATTTAATTTCTGTCCCTCACCGAAACAGTGGTACAAGTGAATTCTATTGCTGAGAATTCCAGGACTTCATGTGAATCACCTCATGTTAGACCATGGAGACTTCTTAGGACCCAGTATCTGGCAGTTGCTGTTAATTAAATGGTCCCATAGTTGATACAATCAAGTCAACAACAACTGGCATGAATTCACTGACACTGATTTGGTTTAGTAATATCACTGAAGCATAACTAAAGCAAGACCATCAAATGATGTAAAAATAGGAAAGCAAAATATCAAGTGAAATATGAAATAAAATATGATTTGTCTAGATCATTATTAATTAAACATACAGGCATTTGGTTCAAATAAAAAAATTAATTTAAAATAATTTGTTGGTGCTATGAATGTCTTTTCGGTGCTTTTAGAGTTTTCACCATTGTACTTGTGTCCATTCACTTTTATTCCCTAATTTTCAGGGATGTTTATCCTCTGTAGTGTTGACCAGGAGCAGTTTGGTACCTGTTCATAATTTAAAGATTATTTAATACTTTTATAGATTTGCCCTCTACTGCCTAATATCTCCAGCCATTGACTTGCCTGTTTAGATCACAGACTCTTGCAGGAAGCTGTATGACCCAGTCTTGTTTGAGACCTGCAGGTGTTACCACTGTGTTAGTAATTAATACGAACAGGAATATTGAGTTTTTGCTTAACCACAGGAGGAAAACTTCCAAGCTCATTTTTTGTGATTTGGTTTTTCCTCTATTGGATCTTTATTTTTAAGTATAAATCTTGCTTTTTTTTCTTTGTTATTCAGTCATAAATAAGCGCGTATTACATCAGACTGTTACATTATCTTTATAAGAATGGATTTTTGTTTAGCACTGAAATTAGGTGTCCAAATCATGTATAAAGCATTAACAGTATAATTATATAGTTTTTCTTCTGTATGTGTTGTAAACATTTGTCCCCTTTTTGTTTTTCATTTATTTTTCTTTGGTATCCAGGGACAATCAGACTAGACAAATACAAGATGCTGTTTCAAACGTGGAAAAACATTTTGGTGAATTGTGCCAAATATTTGCTGGATATGTACGTAAAACTGCCAGACTACGAGACAAAGCAGATCTTCTAGTAAATGAAATATATGCATATGCAGCCACAGAGACACCAAACTTAAAAGTTGGACTGAAAAACTTTGCAGATGAATTTTCCAGACTTCAGGATTATCGCCAGGCAGAGGTACAAAATGAAAGCTGTACATGTTGTGTTTGCCATCTGAACTTTTCAGTTACTTATCTGTGATTTAAAAGGGAAAAGTTATACTCTGCAGTCACCAGAGAAACATAGGAGAAAATACTTTTAAACATACTGGTGTTAGAGCAGCGTAGGCTGCCAAAGCATTCATCGTTTACTCTGCTAATAACTAGTGAAAACCACCTGTGATTCGTCCTGTTGAAGTCATTGAAATTGTCCATATGAGCACTCACAGAATATGAGACACAGCAAGTCTTAGGCTTTGTATTATGTGTTATGGTTAATTAAGTGTTCTTTTAGTTTTGTGACTTGAGTTGTCTAACAGCAGCTGAGGTAAAATCAGCCATTTTCCTTTTGCCGAGTCTGCTATCACAAGCAGTATGGAAGAGAATACTAACTGGAATCCTTCACTGGGCACTGACAGCATCTTTGAGGTGCTGTTGGGAACCACTGTACATTTTGTAAGTCTGTAGTTCAACAGTACAAACATGATTTGGACCATGTGTGATGATACAATCACATTTCAGCTAGACAAGGGAGAATATAAAGGTTCTTATGCCACTGACACGTCTGTATATGGGGCCAGTCAAACTGTAACTTACGATCCAGAATTAGTGCTGAGATTTAAGAAAAGATAAATTCATTCACATGGATTCAAACTAGTTTTTGGAGTACATACCTATTCTTTCAGTATGGCATAGAAAATTCACATTTACAGTTTTGAAAAGCTAAGAACCATTATAATTTTAAAGAGAGACTAAAGTAGTTGACATTCTTAATGTTTTCAGATAGGACCCTTTTTTTTAAAATAAAGAAGCATTGCAAGTCATCTTTCTATATTAACAAAGTGGAAAAAAAAACTTTTTAAAAGAAGTTAATCTATGAGGTATCTACTGAATAGAGGTTTGGAGAAAAAAAAAAAAAAGAAATATGAATGGATCTTTAGCAATGTATTTAGGGCCAGATTTTTCAGTAGTAGTAAGAAATCCAAGGGTGTGGATAGTGCGATATTTTTTTTTTTTTCCCTCCCCCCCCCCCCAATAAGGTCTGATGCATGTGGCTCCAGCTGAAACACATGTAGGTCCTTATGCTTCAATTGATGCAATAGCAATTTATCCTTCTGTTAACAGGGTAAATTTATATTATAGCCAAAGGCGTACATGAAGTCAAACTTCATGACCTCTCTGTCCATTTTCACCTTTGAACTATGAATCTGTGATTTCGAGGCACCTATGTAACAACTTGAGTTCTGTTTCTTTCCATTTTTAAATGTGTTTTTAAAATCTGACATTTGGCCTGCATCCTTCTACCATGCCCACACCCAAACTGCCACTGCCCTTTGAAGGAGAAAAGGCAGAAGCAGCAAAGGGTAATAGAAGCTTTTAGCCTTTAAATCAGGATATCCTTTGCGCATGAAAACAAATAGATAATCTCAGCTTTATTTCTTTTGAGTGTCAGGTTAATTAACAGTTTTCCTATATGTTGACTTTGTGGGCAAGAAAAAATTAGCTTATAAGGGTTGTCAGTTTCTGTTCTTCAGCTGCAGTGCTAGATACATAAATGCTGAGATGTGAGATACTTCCACAACATGTGGAAAGGTAGGTAAGCAAGATGGGCAGGTTATTTGGTATGTCTGTATCATGTGTTTCATTTAGAGGCTTACTGCACTACTCCATTCTATTGTATTGGTAGCTTAAGTGAAATTGCTTGACAGTGCACTGGTAGAGTGTAGTGAAGGAGAAATGTTTGCTCAGTTGGCATAGATTTTGACTGAATGGTGATTGCCAGTTTAGAGGTGAGTGTAATGTCTGTCCCTCCCTGTTAAAGTATACACTTTGTCCTAATTTGGATGTAACAGCAATGGACCAGATGACTTACTGGGCCAAAGACAGTCAGCTTATGCTGGGGCCACTTGGACAGAATTGTCAATTTTGACAAGCAGAGACGTTTTATCCTGTTCCCTGTCTGACCATATGTAGCTGTTTTTCTGACTAGAACTGAAACAAAAATTCAGGCACTCATCTGTGAGAGCATTCATGCGTTTTACACAACCTGTGTTGGTATTTTTAATATTTTCAGTACCTAAGATGCTGTTTCCATTATTTTTAATAACTAAAGTGTTGCATTTTTTACAGTGTGTTTGATAGGAAAAATGGCTTACTCCATAATGTATCAACAAGTGTAGAGCAAATACACTGTTCTTTAACTTTAGATAGAAAGCTACAGATCTCCAAGATGTGGTGTTTTGATGTATTTGGTACTCAGTTGTTAGAATCTCCATGTTTCATTTATCCTGATGCATTGCCAATGAAGAAAAAGGAATTCCAGTAGAAATCAGCTTGAGCTCCTCAAAATACAAATGATTTACTGGTCAATTGAATTGACTCTGGGTTTTGCACTATTTTTAACCCCCCCATCCCACTATATTTTCAGCATATATGAACTAAATTCCTAACAAGATGAGTCACTAATAAATGAATTGTTTCCTGTTTCTGCACGCCATAGATGTGGATGATTTTAGTGACCTTGTGATTTCTTTTGTAGGTTGACAGACTTGAAGCCAAGGTTGTTGAACCTCTGAAAAGTTATGGGACCATAGTGAAACTTAAAAGGGTAGGTTAAATATCTGTTTTCTCGCAAGCTGCATTTTGGTGTTCTGGCCACTCAGTTGAACACCTCTGCTTTACAGAGGGGAGTAGTTCTGACTGTGGTATTGCAGTAATCAGTCTAACTAAATTATATAGTAATACATCTGAATTGAAGCTGTATATATGTTGGAGGAAAAAGCTTGGATGTGAAGACAAGGATATTCAGACTCTTGAAGCACAAGCTGAAAAAAGCATTGTGGATAGTGTGAAACTTTCTGGATAGTGCACATTTGGGACATTTTTCTTTGTACTTAGAGTTTCAAAAGGTGAATTACATGTAATACTTTTTGCTCTTAGTCATCTATATGATGCCTTTCACAGCTTTTCTAACTTGGAATTGCATTCTGCATTGAAGTTCATAATGTAGAAGATACTTTTTGAAACTGATAAATAGGTAGTGGCCTGAATCCTGCTCTGTCCTGCAAAGTCATCAGGATGACCTGAAGATACACAAAAAACTGAGGTCTCTTCACTATATTCTGGAAACAGGGGTTTGAAATATTCCCACAAAATATCTGTAAATTTCTTTCCTCCAGGAGGGATAACCTTGAGCAAGTAAATTGTAACAAGGAGATACTAGTTTATAGGATGAAAGTAGTTCCTTGTAATACTTGTATATTACATGGGGGATACCTTTATCCTGTAAACTTAAACTACCATTTGGCTTATGTTTTTGTTCTTGTATCTCTTCTATACCGTGAAGAACAGAGTACAGTGTTTGGAACTAACTGCAGAGCTATCTCATTGGGCTGTTAGAGAAACAATTATGAAGGAAATGCATCCTGCACTTGGAAGGTACTACGTGTGGTAGTCCTTAGCAGAGTTGCAGACTATAGAACTTGTATCCTAGAATTTGGTATCTTAATAGTCACTCTGAAACCCAGTTTGTAAGACCTAGAACTGAGTGAGTGTTCTACAGGATAAAAATGTTGAGGGTGAAAGACAAGTTTCATGTGTTTGTGGCGATGGCGTTCTGGGGAAACACAGAGCACTACAGCAGTGCTTGGGGATTCCGAAGCATTGAAGGTACTGTCTTGAGGTGTGTTGCCCCTGATAGCCAGTAAATGCTGAGGACAGAAGCTACCGAAGCCAGGTCATCATTTGCAATAGTGAATGGCATTTCCTGTTGTCTTAGACTTTCAGAATGTGAGAAAGCATTACATAATGTTTATATTAGCTACAGTGGGGAGTACAAGAGCATTCTTAAACTGTAGATGGGATTAACTATTTTATCTACATACCTTTGAACGAAGAGTGGCTTCACTAAAGATGTAGGCCACTAAATGATTTTATGTTGGTTTTTTTTTTCCCCCTGCCTGTTACCATAAACCTTGGTTAAAATTTCAACTGTCTGGTTTTCAGTTATCATCTCTAAAAACTGACATTTTTAGGGAAAAGGGAAGTTTTGTCACTCATCTACAACTAGCACCCTGTGCTAGCTTTAAGACTGCTTTACCTGTAACTACATTAGCTGATTAAACCAGGCAGAACATGTCATTATAGCACATTTTATAAAGGGTATGTTCTCACTGCTACTCATTGGATCTGTGCCAGGGTGTACACAAACTATTTTTGTGCTGTATTTAAAAAGAACTGTTGCTATTTCTGTGGGGTAAGACATCAATGTCCTGTGATACTAAATGCTTTGAAGAGGCCCAGGTCAATCAGAATAGTGTTGTCCTTTAACTGCTAATGCAATAAAATTGTTTTAATCACAAGTCCTGGTTTACTATGCTGAGTAGCTCTCTGGGGCAGGATTTGGCAGCTTCAGTGGAAGCTAGTATAATATTCTTGTCCTGTAACGCAGATTAAATGTAGGATTTGGGGATTTCTTTCTGTTTCATTGTTCTATAAATCAATTTTCACTTTTCTGATTTTTGGCAACTCTGTTCCTGGTTCCTTTTCTTCATATAAAACAGGACATCATAAAACCAAGGTGATCCACCTGCAGAAGAAAGGATTGGTTTGCTTTAATAACTTCAGTGACTAAAGCAGGTAACAGTACAGTGATGAGGATCTGCCAGTTCACTGTCTGGTGGATGGACTGTAGCTGTACTTCTGTATGGTTTGAAATTACATGGCTGACCAGAGTTCTTATGTGTGACTTGAATTCATAGTTTGAAGCCAGATGGACTATGAATAATTTTATATTTTCTGTACCTATTCTTTATCTCATAGGCTATTACATTCCATTCAATTTCTCCCTGGGTATAATTAAAGCATATTTTCCAAAAACATATCAAATTTTGGCCTGAAGACACTGGAGGGGAATGTAGGACTGTTTGTGGTAGTGGTTAGTTGATGTTTATGGTGTTTTGTTTTAGATGAAAGACTTTACCTGATCTTTGGTTCTTGTTATGTGTTCCACTGAGATTAAAGAGCTCTATGATGCCTTTTTTTTTCCTGAGTGAATATATTTAGATGCTAGTAAAACCAATTTTTCATTCTGCCATTTTCCCAGCTTCTGAATATTTTTAATGTTTTTTTTTTCTGCACCCTCTTCATTTTTTCCAACATCCTAGACAAAATATGTACATAACTGTCCCCTATCTCTGTACATCCAAAACTTGTATATAGCTCCACTGCTGTAGCCACAGGAGCACCAAATCCTTGTCAGGCTTTGGCTAGCAGAGAAGTGTGGTTGATGGCTGGTGTTGCTACAGAGAACAGAGGTAGAGAAGGGAACACTGCAGTCCCTGCAGGTATTTCCAAAGTTACTATGTATTGGAAAGAAAATACTGAATTTTATAATAGTATCTCTATTAGTTCCCTTAGCCTTCTCAAGTATACTTTGCATGAAAGTCAGAACCCTTTCAGCCGCAGCATTAGATCTGATTGACTGTTTTAAATGGGCCTAGAAAGTCAGTGCTGTTAACAGGGCCCAGTCATTAAATAACACTAGACATGCAGCTGTGTGACCATTAGATACAATACTGCTTTGTTCTATGGCAAAAAATAAGTATGTTTTTCTCTCCTCTTTCTGTACCTTTAATTTAAAATTTAAAATGTAAAGCAATACAAATTTTTTTCTATTACTGCTTTTCTTGCAGCCACATGGTTTTCCTAAAGGATAAAGCCCTTACCACCCGTCTTTCAGATGGCCTTAAAGGTGGTGTAAATTCCCTTTTGAAAGAACAGCAGCAAAATTAGTTTTGATGGGCTAAAGATGCAGTTGGTTTTATTATCAGAAATCAGCTCAGAAGCAAAATGATGGACATATACACAAGGACATACAAACAGAGTGTAAGGATAGAAACAAGGAAGAAGTTCTGTGTTTTGATCCTGACCTCATGTACAGACTCATTATTGAAGAAACAGCACTCTGAAGCCTGGCACTCTTGTGCTTGTCATTGACTAGTGATCTGGTCACAGGATCACAGAACTTTGAGGCACACATTCTTGGCTGCATGTCCTTCTGGGTGAAGGAGAGCTACAACCATGTTAAAATTCTGAAATCCAAGGAAGGAGCACAGACAGCTTCCCAAGATGATAATTTTTAATAGCTTTAATCCACTTGCTCTGGAGTGGTAGATAAATGGGAACTGGTGTTTGTAGAGGAAATGCTGGTTTGTATAGGAAATGCATGCCCAGCTCCAGCCTCAGATTTTGTTAGACTGATTTCTTTGGGCTGTATTTCTGTTTCTTCTAAGCTACTATTCTTTTAAATTAGAGCCATCAAAATTAATGTAATTTCCAGTACCAGAGTCAATGGAGTGATAAGTAACTGACAGTTTTAGATTCCATGTATGCCAAACTATTTGCAAAACACAGATTTATAGCATGAACAAGAATCTGAGAGTGGTTTGTAAACATTCTTAAATTGTCACAGATCTTCCTAGAAGTACATTGTAATTCTCCTTTGGATATGAGGAACAAAAGTATTTATCAACAGTTTCTGCATTTTCTGGATCAGTAAGTTTCATCTTCTCCAGCTAAATCATTACTAGGATGTATTTTGTTCCAAATGTATTTAAACACCTTCCTAACAGCACGTATAAATATGCAGTTTAACCCTTTCGGCTCTGGATTTTGTGGCATCTTAAGCTCTGTGTAACTGTTTTGTGTTCTTCATAACTTCTGATTGGTACTGACTGCTGCCTGTTTTGTGTTTTTTTGACTGATCTATTTGATGCCACTTTTTATTTCTAAATGACACCTTTATTCCATTGCTAAGCCCAGAATGGGCTGTCTTCTTACTGCTTTGGTGATCTCAGCTTCTGACCATCTACCATACCTTTCATGAAAACCTGTAAATATGCTTTTCTTTTTTTTTTCCCCCATATTTTGAATTACAGTGTGTGCTAGAGAGTTGTGCAAGGTGCTAAACTGTCTTGGTCCCCATTGATTTCTCTTTCAGGAGATGATTTAACAGGACAAAATCAGTAAAATCTGATTTTGTTTAAAGTAGAAATTTTGTTCATGTTTTCTAGGCAATGTATGTATGAAGAACAGTGACTTTGTATTATCCTAGATCTATTTCAAACATGTCTAAAACATTTTATTTCCAGGATGATCTTAAAGCAACTTTAACAGCAAAGAACCGAGAAGCCAAGCAATTAACTCAGCTGGAAAAGACACGTCAGCGGAATCCTTCAGATCGACACATTATTGTATCCTGCATTTCTAGTAGCTAGAAGAAATATTTTTAAAATTGCTCAGGAATTGAACTATTGTGTATAGAAAGTAGTAAGAGAAGAATGCTCTTTGCCTATGTTGTTAAATCTTTTCTCTAAACTTTATGATGAGTTACATCTCATAATAGCTGCTTTGTTAGTCACTCCCTTTTTGATTGAAAAGAAAGTGCAAAGTATTTGATACGTTTGTGCAAGAGACGTAGGGATATATTGCATCTAGGAATTTGGAGGTTTTTGAAAAGAAGTGTAATCAAACAACTCCTTTTTTACTTCTGTGAATTTTTTATTTTACTGTTTTTCTCCCTGTCATTTTGGTAGTTGTTGTGCTTCCTGGTTCCTAGGTGGGGTATGAGTTTCCTACATCTGTGAGATGAAGTGTGAAAGGAGAAGTTGTCATTCTGTTAGTAGAATACTCAACCAGATAACTCTTCCTTTCCAAAGACCAGTAAGCCTTCCCAGTATACTATTCTGTACCACAGGAGGAAAAATTAATCCTCCATGGAATTTCCATTAAAATCACAATGAAGTTTCAAATTCTGAAGCAGTCAGAATCTAGGAAATGCCAAAATAAAGGGGATCAGGGCAATCGTACTTCAGTCTCTTTATGCCTGTGTATTATGATACAGCATTTAAGTTCATGATGATGTGCTGTTTATTTTTTTATTATACTCTAGTGTTGGACTCAGGAGTAAAGCAGTCCTATTCTTTGTAGGATTTCATCAACTTTATTTCAGAAAGTAGGATCCTTCTGTAGTGACTGGGGCATGGGACTGCAGAAAGAGCAAAAGTTTTTGTGATGGTCAAATGCCACTCAGGAGAATTACATTTTATTTTTGTCTCTGCCAAAGAATTACCATTTATTATTAATCAAATCAGTTAAATCAAGTGACTAATGACTAATATTCCTCATGTAATAGACACACATATGTCAGACATGGGGTTAGAACTTGAGCTCTGATGCAGAGTTCTGTTCCGTTAGAATTAAGGGAGTAAATGGTAGTGGTATGCTATTCTCCCCAAAGGGAGACTGGTCCCTTTTTTCTCTCTCTCGTGCTGTTCCCTGTTGATTTCATGGGTATATGGCTGGCACCTAGCTTGTTCTTGTCTCTTTGCTACTCCCAAATACCCTTCTGTGGCTTAGCTTCTTGCAACACCTGTGTTTTCTATACTTAACACTTTGTCTGAAGAGTTATTAAATCTCAGTACAGTCTGGTTTTGCATATGGCCAAAGGCACCAAACACTATGTACTTGCATTTTAAAGTGATCAACACAAAATGCATGAAAAGTATTTGGGAGCAGGAGTATGTTTGTTTGCTTTTGAGGCTGTATGTAGGTCAGCTTTTAAGTGTGAGAGAGGCTTCACCATGTTCATTTGCATAGCTGTTAGGCTTAAGCAGTGGTTCCTTTATTCTTGAGCAACTGTGATGTTTCAGCAGCAACAACTTTGGCCACAGGTAGCAAAGCAAAGGATTTGTACTCAGTCCCAAATTTCAAGTCTGTCTTATAAAACGTGAGGTAGTACAGCTTTGAAAAGAAAACCTTACTGGATTTTTTAAAATACAGAAATTTAAAAATAATTTTTTTTTTTTATCTGAAATAGTCTGCCCAAATTATCTGATTGGTTTTTTTGGTTTGTTTTTTTTTTTTTTTTTTTTTTTTAATAATAAATAAATAAATAACCAAACCCTCAGTCCAAGACAGCTATCCTGAAATATTTTGGCCTGGATACTTGAATTCTAGCAGAGCTATAACAAGCTGTAAGTAATGTCTTATAGCAGGAAGCTTCAGACAACATAATAGCACCCTCCAAGTATACGGAAGTTTTGAAATAGCCGAGGTAAATACTTCACAATATATTAAATGTAGACGTGAAAACAGATACTTTTATGAATATTCCTTGTTATTTTGCCATTTTTTCCTTTACTAGTGTTTCCAGTCACAGGTGAGTGTTTCAGAGGATAAAATACCAAACTGCTGTTGTGCAAACTTTGAAGGTTCTGCGAGTTTAGACATTTCACTCTACAGCAAACAAAATTCCTTTCCCAAAGCATCTGCGCACAAAATCTGGCCAGTCTATTTAAGATGGATTAAGAAGATATATTTGATTATCGTAGAAATAACATAATGTATTTGTATGTGTAATGATTGCTTATGCATGACAGCTGCCTTCATCTACAGAGAGTGACTTATTGTAATAATTGAGAATATAGAAAATGTCTTTTCTTACTCTCTTTCCCGCCTGTGTTTTGGGCAAAATCAAGAAAGGGAGATAACCATGTGACTTATGTACTACTAAAGACCATTACAAATTTTGTTTGTCCAGTAATGGCAGAACTGTGTCTATGTATTTAAGCTGCTTTTTGTAAGGAGATTGTTTCAAAATTATAATCCTGTAACATAAGGTTACCAGATTTTAATCAAAGAAGCGACAGAGCATGCCTTATGCCTTAGGTTTCCATATACATACAACACTAAAAACCAGATAATGGGAACTGGGCCTGTAGTGTCTATTTCCATTTTTAAAAAAAGAGTTCCTCTCAAGTTGCAGTGTTGTAGAAATGGGAAGAATCCTGAGTCTTGATTGTAGGATACAATTACTTGATCCATATGCTATTTCCAAATCCAAGGACAGAGTATGTTCCTGATTATACTTACTGACAGAGCCTGTAAGTAAATACTATCTTGACTAGTCTTATGATGTTTGATCAGTAATGTATGAAAAATAAAGTAAGTTTAGACCCAAATTTTGCAGTCCTCAAGGACGAGCTCTTACATCTTTACATCATTACTTTGTAACAGTACAGTTCTCAGACTTTACTTAACCAGAATAGCTTCAGTACCTTTATTTAAATATTGTAGTGTGCATTTTTATACAGTTTATAGGTCTATCTAATTCAAATATGTAACTAAAATGCTTTTTATAGTAAGAAAGTAAGAAAAACTATGTATTTGTGCATTAGGGGTTGGCTGCTGTGTCCCTTTCCCAGTGCCTTGTTGAAGATGTTTTTTATAAAATATTTTAATCATATAAAATACTGAAAACATGAAGTACCTGAAATGCATTTGGATCTAAAAACATTAATTCCAGCCTGCTGATTGTGATACTTATGGGAGAAGTGTGTTCATTCCACCTGCTGCTCTATTGTCTATTTAAATAATTATAAAAGCTTAGTATAATATGGTTCAGTACATGACATTGGAAGAGATTTGTTCTAAACCCAGCAGGTTGATCTGAACCTTAAAATAAAGGGTGATCTTTTCTGCTCATTCATCACTCCGATCTTTGCACTCTTGCCCTCTCCTTTACAGCAGGAAAAAAAAAAACCTTAACTTTTCTGAAAGGTAAACCCGTGTGCTGGGTTAATTCCCTGAACCCAGTCACTCTGTCGTCAGCGGAGTGTCAGGGCTGGCTCAGTGGAATTGGCAGATGATCATTAAAGAAAATTGATGAGGGCAGTGAGACTTTCCTGACTGGCTGTAGCTTGTAATTTTTCATGTTTCAGATCAAAGTCACAATAGTGTAGAAGGCGTCTTTATTTGTCTGTTAAAATACAAACAAATTTACAAATACAGTAACACAGATGTGTAGTATTTTGAAGACCCAGCCTTAAATGTTTTAATGGCAAGTAGAGCAAATGTCTTTGTATCAAATACAGGACTAATTTCACCTTTGTGTTAATTCACCAGGCTGAAAGTGAATTGCAGAGAGCTTCACTGGATGCAACTCGAACAACTCGACAATTAGAGGAAACCATTGATAATTTTGAGAAACAGAAAATAAAGGACATCAAAGTATGTATGCTCACATTTCAGTATATGACACTGCATTTCCTCTTGCATAATAAACTTACTACACTCATTCTTTGTAACGTTTAGTATTAAGCCTATATAACTACAAATCTTGTGGTATTCATATTTCATAATCCAAATATCATTACCTTTGCAATTAAAAAAATCAGTTAATTATTCTTAGTTTACTGAATTCAGAATTTTCCTGTATCCAGTTGTTTAGCATCTGCACCGTCCAACAGTTGCTGTAGTCTACTTCACTGGTAGCTGCATTTGTTAGTGGAATGATATATGTGGATTAATATCAGCAAAATTAACAGAAATAGCATTAAGTAAATAATATATTTGTTAAAAGTTTTACTGATGCAGAAAGCAGAAAATGTTCAGTGGCTGCCAGTAATCAAAGCTTTAATTTCTCTCTTAATGTCAAACATGAAGTGGCTTAAGTCCCAAAGACTACTGTGACTGAAAACCACTTGCATTATGTGATCTCAATTTTAATTATAAAATTGCTGAAGTGAGATACTTTTTTATTGGGTGAAAAAAAAAGACAGACTAAATAGGAAAGAATGAAAGACAGTTGAAAAACCTAACCAAAGCAACGAGTACTTGATGGTAGAGTAATATGAAAAAGATTGTGTGAGTTCTGAACATGTCATCATTTTGATTTTTATATAAAAAGAATATCTTATTATATAAAATATATATATCTGTAAATTATAGCTATGTATAGAAATTAGAGATAATTTATCCCCAACCTGTTAAAAAAGATTGCCATCACTAAAGCAAAAATCCACTGACTACGTCTTACCAGTACATAGCAGGGAATATTAAGTGAGTTTTCAGCATGACATTTTATTTATTCTTAATGAGCCTCATCTTCACTTTTCAAACTTTTGCTTAGAATTTAGTATGAAATTACAACTGCATAAGTGACAGCCCAGCCAGCATTTCTGTTTAATTTCTAAAATTCAGGCCTGACCCCTTAAAAGTACTAGGTATCATGCAGTTATTTGTATTAAAGAAATGCCAAGTACAAAATTCAGTAATTTCTTGTACTTGAACTGTACTGCATTAAAAAACCTTTTTCTTTGCGTTTAGAACATATTTTCTGAATTTATAACTATTGAAATGTTATTTCATGGGAAAGCCTTAGAGATATATACTGCTGCCTACCAAAATATCCAAAATATTGATGAAAATGAAGATTTAGAGGTAAGTGATTAAGCCTTGCCTTTCAATTTACTTCCTACATAACAGTTCTCAGACTTCAAGTCTATACATGTGCCAGGCAGAAAATGCAACATATGTTTCAAGTTCCCAGAACAAACCTTAAGTATACTGAGCCCCTTTTTGCACCAGCAAGAGCATGCAGATGTATAAACTCAGAGGTTTTAAAAACAGAAAACTGCAGTGGCAATCTGATCTTTCCCACAAAATACAGATAAGAGAATTTTCCTAAATTAACTGCCACTCCAAGCTCTGCTAATCATAGTTCTTAAAGAACACCTCTGCAGTGAATCTTGCTGTAAAGATGCACAGTAAAATACAAATCTTGCACTGCCCTGATAAGATGTTCTAAAGACTAATTACTTCAGTAAAAATCTTTCTATTCTGATTTTTGTTTGCTTGTTTTTGTCTTTCAGTCATTGTTTTTTATTAGGCTGTTCTAGCATTAAGAGACACTTGTTAGCAAATTGCTTTTTTTGCTTTGTGACAGTTACAGCTTCCTTTCAAGTCACCCTTTCTGTTCTCTTTGAGTTACAGTCTCTCTTTCCCAAGACATGTTTTTCAGTCTTTTATTCATTCTTGCAGTTCTTCTGGATGTTGGGCCTTTAAACTTACTAGCATTGAAATGTACACTGTGTATATGTGTTCAGCTTGTCAAGAAAGTTGGATCATTTTTGGTCTTTTTTTGTAAATCTCTGTCCTAATTTAATTTTTTCTATTACATAGCTCAGGACCAAAGATGACAGTATTCAGTTAGTGCAAGACATACACAATCATGATTCTTCAGTGACAGTCACATTTGAGACTACTTGGTATTTTTACTTAAACTATATCATCTCGATTCTGTACTATTCTAGTTTCACAATTAAAATGTCACGTAGGACCAATTCAAAAATATCCTTTAAGTCAATGCTTTGTCTTTCACAAGCAAATTTCCAATCTCATTTTAAATTTCTTGTTAATTGAACAATATTTACTCTCCATAAAAACACTGACTAGCCATAATACTACCAGGTTTCTTGACTTTATTAATAACGCCTTGCACAAAGAGCTTTATAATTTTACTTATCAGGCTGTTAGTCTTCTAATTTACCTGTTTTGACTATTAGAAAGAACTTCTAAATATAATGTATGTTACAGTTTCCCCTGTGTTCTAAGGGTTTTCCCAGATTTTTCTTGAGCTGCCCGTCTCCTTAACATTTCAGATGAAAGTTCACTGATGCACCTCTGACTAGCAGCAAGGATTTGCTTCTGAAGGGGCTAAGAGTTCACCTCTCCAAGAAAGCCTGAAGGGAGTTGCTGGGGTTCACACCTCTAGGCTAGCGTGAAACTCAGCTACATAGGTTGGTGGGAAACCATTGCAGTTTTCCACTTGTAAATCACCTCAGATCTCTGAAGATGGTTTACTTTGACCACATTAAGTGTGTTGATATGTCTCAGGTTGAGCAAGGATTTTGTTAACAGCCCAAAGTGATCAATCCAAACTACTGCTGATACACATCTTTAGAGCAGGTTTCATTGTCCGATGCTGCATTTCCGTTAGCTTCAGTCTTGGTGACTGTTAGTTTGCAAACTGTTATCGTGGCACCCAAGTCACAACTTTGTTTATTTTAACAGGTTTTTCGGAGCTCACTTTATCCACCAGACTATCAGTCTCGCTTAGACATAGTTCGCGCAAATTCAAAGTCCCCCCTGCAAAGAACTGGCTCCTTGAAGTCTTCATTGAGGACAGTACAGGTAAGAAAGAAAAATTAAATGCTAGATCACTGTATTAAAAGAATGTCTAAAGTAGAGCCTTAGCTGATGTACATGTACATAGGTCCAGTACTTTGCTCAGTTCAGTACAGTTGTAAAGAGAATTCCAAGAGCATAAAGATCATATGAAGCTTTTAATAATGCAGCTTCTAAATATAATTTTTATTTCAGGAAAAAACAAAGTCAGCTTTTAAAGCTGTGTTATTTTTGAAAAATGCCATTTCCAGTGGTACTATTTCTTTTACCAAAAAACTGTGGCATCTTGCAGAGAAAAGATCTAGGAGCTTACTGGAAACAGAAGTGACTTTCTTTAAATAACACTTGCATATTCTTAAGTCTCTGTATCCAGATCCTAGGGTGTGGATTCTCTACCAGATCCTAACTCAGACTAGTGATACCTCCTAGCAGCAGAGAAAACCCATGACCAACAACCCTCTTCTTTTATACTCTGAAAATTCAGAGCAGGTGAGGAAAAGGAGGATGATAAAAATAAGTGAACCAGATGGAGAAAGTGCCACTGCTTTTGAGCCATCTACCTTGCAGAAATCTTTGACACTTTTTTGCAGCAGTAAACTTGCAGACATTGCAAAATGGCTAAATTAGTTTTTCTTTATTGCAGCCTTAATCCTGTAACTAAGATGATTCTTACTTGTGTTTTGTTTAAAGACAAAGATATGGTCAAATTTAAAATGTATGCATCCCACTTTTCTTCTGAACAATGCTTTGATATTGTAATACTAAAAAATTTTCTTGACTGCATACACATTACCCTTCTTTCCTCTCAACACAGAAAGGATCAATTATTACAGTTGAGTTATTCTGTTGTTGAAAGTACAAGTCGTTCCATCTGAAAAGATAAAAGAACCCACTGATTCAGTGCATGAAGACCAACCTTGACTTTGAATAAGTTGCCTGTCCTCTCTAGCAATAAGCAAATTCCATGTTTAAGTTATTTCAGAAAATCTTTACCCATTCATTTTTTTGAAGAGCACAATAAGTTGTCAAAAATCTGTTGCCATCTTCCTTGAGAACTTCCTACAGTGCTGTAAGACTGTATCAAGGGTATAGAAGCATCTGCACTTACACTGATGTGCCACATACAGCTATGTTTTGGACTGTTTTTTAAAAACATATAAAAAAAAATCAACACCCAAAACAACAGAAAACTGAATGTATATACACTGATTTCTCTCAGGGATGGAGTGGAACTCCATTTTCACTAACTTGCAAATTTACCTTATTCTTCTCCTAGATATCTCTTTTAGCTGTAACTTCAGATGTTAATATTCTCCAAAGCTCTCACTGGAATATCTGAAAAGAACAGGAAGTCATCTAGACCTTGAGGGAAACTGCAGTACATTTCAAAAGAATGTCATCTTACTGGGCTATGTGGTGTATTTGCAGAGGATCACATGGCAGAAAGAAGGGGTGGAATACCCTACTAATGCAGTGGTTATAGGGCACTAAAGCAGCAGGTCTCCTGTTCTGCACACACCCAATGCTACCCTTTCTGATTCTGCAAATACTATGTTGCATCCAGGATCAGTACCTTGAATTACACTAAGGGCTCTAATCTCTAGAACCCACCAAACATCTCACTAGCAAAGAACGCTGCATTCAGAAAAATTTTCAGATGACTTGTTTTACCTTTCTTTGGTCCTTTCGCTCTCAAAGTTTTAACAAGTCTGGTTTTATGCTACATAATAATAATTTACTGACCATAATGGAGTACTTTGGAATTTTCAGTGTAAAGCTGTATAACTAATACAGTAAGCAGCTCACAGAATCACAGAGACGTGGACTATGGTGGGGGTGAGGGGGGGCGATGACACAAACACTAACCTGTAGGTGGGGGGCAGGCTGGGAAGTCACTGCATACTAGATGGGATAAACTGTACCAGTAACACAATACTTGTCTTTCAGAGGACTTAACACATACATCCTTGAATTTATTTCTGTTTCTGTGGACTACCTTCCTGTATTATTTCCATATTAAAAGTCTGAAGTACTTCTTGAGCTTGATTTGTTTTTTCACAAAGAGCTACCTCCTCTTAAAGTTCTGGTGCCTTACCGTGATGTCACGTTGCTTTGTCAAGCCACATGATAATCCAAGTGTGTCCTGTCACTTTATCCTGGAGTGAGTATTCTGGAAAGAATACTGTATGATAAATTATCAAAAGCAGGAATTGGCAAAGACCACTTATCTTTTTGTGTCCATTTTAATGCTTCTGTCCCTCAACTCTTTCTGCTCTTGGCTTTCACAGTTGTTTATTACTCACATTCAGACTAGCTGAAGCAACTGAGATGCCGCCTTTTCCACCCCACCCACCAGACTCCCTTCAGCAGACAATACTGTAAAACCACAAGGAGCAGAGCACTGGGCAATCTTGTTAGAAAGAACTAGTGTCTCAAGCTGCACTAACAGTACAACAATAAGACCTGCATTTTTTTCATTTCTATGCAATTAATATGATCAGAAGAAAAAACTTCTATGTACCAGGAAAGCTGTTTTTCATAAGATGGCTCATCATTATGAAAAAAAACTCTTCAGGGTTTTAGGGCACTTTTTAAACTTGACTATTGCAGATAGTTTTAGACAAGTTCTGAAAAGGTGATTTAAGTTTTCACAACAATCCTTTGTAAATCCCTTCGTTTTGTACTTTACTTAGCAATTTATCTTCAGCATTTCATTTTACTAATTCAGGTTGGTGTGCTGCATTTTAGATAGAACTATAGCAGAAGAGAATTACTTTCTCCAGGTATTTTTAATCAAACTATCTAAGTTTTATCTACATGCACTTAATACAGCCAGCTGTTTTGCACCTGCCCTCTAAGACAGCAAAGTATCATTTTAACAATGGATGAAAATGTCTGCATCCAGGTGTTCCAACACTGCCTGCTGTGTCGGGCACAAGGAGAGAATTGCCATGCTTTCTGTAGTAGCATATGCAGTGAAGCATGCAACTTAACAGCTTAATCGAGAACAGTTATCACCTACTTGCAAACTCAGATAACTCTTTTTCACATAAAATTATGATAAGAAAGTATCAGATTCCATGAAATCTTTTAATTTTTTTTTTTTTAGCATTAAGTAATCAAACCTTAAATTTTCAAGTAGTAGTTATGGCAAAATAGCATGTATTTAAACTACCTAATTTCCTTTCTCACTTGCCTCACTCTCATACAGTTTGGTTCTTAGGTTAGCCATCTTACCACCACCTCAATGCCACCAGAAATATTTCATTTACTATTTAGTTAATTACAGCATGGTCAGAGGTACCCAAGTAGGGAGCAGAAAAAAGCTCTAAAGCCAAAACAGCACCTCTTATTTCAGGAAAAGGGAAGGGGGATCTTTTATTCTGAACCATAATTGACGTTCTGCTTAAGAATTTCAGATGCTCTTAAACTAGAAAAAACTTGGAAAATTCGTCTGTCAATTGAAATGAAGCTACCTTAAGAGGCTCAATCTGCAACCGTCCTTAATCTCCAATTACAAATCAGTGTCATTGTCTTTTTCTTCTTTCACAGAATGAGAGATTGCTGGCTTTGGCATTTAGACTCAAGTTAACCCAGCTTGATCCAATGATTACTCCATTTTCTGTTATGTTCAGAGATTTGTAAGCAGGCGTTTGCTTCAAGCTAAATTATGTACTTTGTGAGCATCAACAAGACTAAGGATTTTTCTGCTTTCATTAGTTCAATGATTGCAGTTTGCTTTATGCACACACAACAAAATTTTGTTACATACATAGATCTATGAATTATGAAATCTCAGAAGTCAATTTAATAACCATTTAAGGACTTTTAAAATGGGGGTTGTTTAAAAAAAAATAAAAGGCAAGTTTTGTCTTCAATACTAGTTTTATTATATTACTGAATGTGAGAAAACTCAAAAAAAATAGCCAAAATTAGAGCTGCAGATGCCCTTAGAGAACTGCTGAACCTAAAATCATTTTTCAAAAGCATTCCAGATGACTTGGATAACTATCTTTTTAGTTTCATGTTCCTTTTCATGTGGAAAAAGAAAAAAAATACATATATTCTACTTTAAATTGTAAATGTTGCATCTTCTGTGAAGAATCTATCTTCAATAGAAATTAGATTGAGTCCTCATTAGAAAAAAGTATAGATGGCAGAATCTGTCAGATGAGATAAAAGCTTGGCAGCTGGCACTGGCTTTGAACATTTGATGAACCAAAAAAGGACTACAGTATCATTCTGAAGGGCAAGCGCTGATGGGCAGGGAAAGAAGTTCATGTATGAATGAATACTAAAGTTTGTCTAGTTTACTCTCAAAAACAGCCTAGAGCAGCATAGTGTTGAATTTTTCATTTAACTGGTTTTATGTCTCTAGGATTATGCCTTAATACTCTTCTTCAGCCTGCTGTCTCAACAGCAAACCCAGAAAACTGACTTACATCCTGTTGATTTTTAACATTAGTTTGATCAATGGAGTTTTCCCTAACCCATAATAATTCTCAAGACTATGAGGATTTTTTAGCTTTTAAAAATCATTACTGTATTTATATTCTGTGTCATCTTTCTGTTGGCATTGTACATGTTACTGTAAGTTGAAGGGCTGAGGGATAAGCCACTTTCTCCTGCCCCTAAATGAAAAACCTACAAGTACTTAGTCTGGAAATGCCAATAGAGAATTGTTTTTCTTTCAGGAGAACAAACACTTGATCTACTTTTGTTGGATTTTTGTTTTATCAGATTTCCAGTGCTATACTAAGAAAAGATGAAGAAGAAGAAGAAGAGGAAGATGAAGATGAAGAAGAGGAAGAGGAGGAGGAATTAGATGCTACTAAGGAAGTGAGATAACAAAACTGTTTTAAGAGTCTCTTTTTTTTTCATTGGGGGGGAAAGAATATTTCCCTTTACGTAAAGGTTTTTGTATGTTAATCAAAAACTTCACTATGGCTGTATTTTTAAAATTCCAACAGGATCAAGAATTGGCACTAATACTGGAGTGCCAGACAACAAATGACCAGTTTCAAAGAACAGAACAATATCTGCTGAAAAAGGACAATTTCAATAGCTAGAAAATGAAATATTTAAATAGAATCCTGTATTATATTTGCATAGTTGTTGTATTGCAGTCACATTTGCTTAAACTTGATGAAGTGTCCAAAAACTGCACTAAGCTGACAAGCAGTTATGAACATAAGGGTTTGCTTGTTACTTTGCCAATATATTACCCTATTCTTTAGCTACACACCTCAGATTTACTAAATCCTCTAGCTATACCTGTCACAACTGGTTTTATACATTCTAAAGTAACTGTAGTACTCAAAAAACTGATTACAGCAACAATCCTGTTAGATTCCATTTTGTTACCCACCTTGGATGGCAGAAGGCAGGGTGAGGTGTATTGTGTTCTCATTCTTGTTTTCCTCAGGCTTGACTAAGATGACTTTTGATTCCTTTACGCAGAGTGAATATTCACAGATAAGGACCTAGCCCAATATCTACTTTTAATGCTGCTTTGCTTTTAAATAAAAGTGCCTTCATAATAGTTGATATTTTATAGCTGACATTTATTATATTAGTTGACGTGCTATATATAGTTCAAATTTCATGTGTTTAACTGGTTGATTCAGTTACCAATTCCATCAAGCAAACAAGAAATTACATATTTTGAGTGTAATTTAACCTGTTTGAAGACAGTGGTTATGCATGTTCATTTTTGAACAGCATACAATTGTCTGCCAGAGAGCTGCTACCATACTGTTTATCTCCAGCTTTACTATCTACTAAAGAAAGAAGGCATGTATAAATCTAGAATTTAAACTTGTAGCTGGGAAAACAATCTTACATTATAACCAAATATTCTTTCAGTTACAGAAATAAACCAGGAAGTGCATTTTTAATACTGATGCTGCCTTTGTCCACTGATGCAAAGCATGCAATACATACTTATTTGACAGGTGAAAAAAACAGCTTTTGCCAAAAATCAGTGTGATGAAAATGTAAGTTAAAATGTCACAACATAGGAATCTGTTTTAAATCCAGAAACTAGTTTTACACCAGAATTGCATACTATTGACATTAACTACTGTTGACAAAGAGTAGAGTACTAATGACCAAAACTTAAACAGTGCCTAGGTAACTAATTCCCATCTATTTTCGTGAGTAGGGCACTTCAACAAGTATTTCTATTTATTGAATATTTCTACTACAACATGAGAATTATGACGATCACCACTTCAGTATTTCATACTCAGTGAAGTCATGTAGTCCATCTCCAAAACTTCATGACTATACCAGGCCTTCATATAATACACATATATGCACAGTGATTATTTCTGTACTGTGCCTTGAGAAAGGAATTATGAATAAAAAAGGAAGCAGTGCTTAGATAAATTACCACCAGATTAGTAGTGAGGGTACAGAAAGGGGTTTTTTACCTCAACAGCTTCAAATTCTGTCTCCTGCCCTACCTCATACAGAAGTTGACTTTAGGAATTACAGAAAAACTTACAGAAAGGGAGAAATACGGTGTTGGGCAACTTTGTCCTGCATATATAGTGTCATATAGTGTCTTAAGTTTGCATATTGGACAGAAATTCTGTGACCTCAAAGCTATAGCTAAAAAAGTCACTGATTAGAGTATTGACTGGCTATATTTTATATCCAGACCACAAACTACAGCATTTCATTTGTTCTTTTACTATATAGATAGTACTTAGAGGTACTTAAAGGAAGAGCAATTAATTCAAGCCATATTATTACAGACTGTCTCTGATTTGTTCTTTATACTGAAAGTACAGTGCCTCCAAACCATTAAACATCAAAAGTTACAAAACCCTAGTATCAGGAAATGCTGTCGCCACACCATGCACCTGTACCACCTATTCTGGCAGAATCAGAGTAATATGCCTATATATACTCTTAGACATCCGAGTTGGAGGGAAAAAAACAAAACACCAACCAAAATATACTAGCAACATATCAGCTACAAACTGAGAATCAACTGTCTTACTCAGCACCTTATTATTTAACTGATGAACTGGCATTCCTTCCCAATTTCCATATGCTTCAGATCCCGTGTGTACTTTGAAGTACAGCTTTTGTCTTCACAGACCTTTAAAAAAAACACCACTTTTTTGGCCTATCAATCAGACATTTCAGATTAACATAGAGTAGTTATTAACTCTGATTTGGCTTTAAGACAAATTAGCTATAGGTCAAACAGAAAACATTTTGAAATGCCTTATTATGACCTCAGCCATTGTAAGTTTTATGACTTTTTATGTATTCAATAGAAGGGGAAAGTTTACCATCCCAAAAATTAATGGTATCTTATAAAAATTACTGTTAATTTTGAGAACTGATAATGATTTTTCTAAAAAATAATCTCACACTTAACCAGCCAGAAACCCACTAAAATACCCTATCTTTCCAGCCTCCAAATCCTTTTTTCATTATAAGAATTCATGTCTGTTTACAACACTACTCTAGAAGCATGTTAAAAAGTTTACCAATTTATTTTCAGTGTTTGAATTCTCCTGTTGTGTAGTCACTAGAAAAACTTTAAAACCAACAAATCCTCTAACACTGATTAACTGGAGAAGTTAGTTGCATTCACATTTACAACACAGCTAGTAATGCAGAGGCAAGAATTAGTAGTAAATATGATGTTACATTACAAAAATAATCACAATGAAGTTTTCAACAGCATGATCAGTTCAGACAAGTTTATTTTGAGGATTCTCAGAACACATCTTTATTTTCCTTGCAAAGTCTTCCAGCTCCTTGATCTCTGTTATAGCAGCTATGAAATAAAACACCAATTTGTTGGGTTTTATTTTAATTCCATTTAAATTCAGAATGCTTCTGAAGCTAATTCCTACCAGACAGCAAAAAAAAGGTATGCAAGTTTAAGAATTTGAAAATTTGGCCACATTTCTTTGCTCAGAGGAATCTACATATACAGACTTAAGATTATCATTCCCATTCAGAATGCTTTTCTCCTATCACTTAAAAGAGGGTAAATAATACGCAGAAGAAATAAAGCTACACTAGCCTTTGAAAAATTAAGAGACCAGAACAAATTTCTCTTGTTTATTTCTACTTAAAAAGTTCACATGGAAGTTTAATAACAATGAGAACTTTACATAAACTATGTAGTTAAGGTTTGACCTCCAGTGAGGGCAATTAGTCACTGGACTGGGCTGCCCGGGAGGCTGTGGAGTGTCTATCCTTGGCACTATTAAAAATCCAGGGGACAAGGCTCTGAATAACCTGTTCTAGTGACACTGCTTTGAGAAGTGGGTTGGACTAGACACCTCCAGGTCCCTTCTAACTTCAACTACTCTATGATTTTTTGGTATTGCCTGAGCAAAAGTTAAAACAAGTTTTCATCACAGAATTGCAACTTTGTTGTCTTAGTCTGAGAGGGGATTAAAACTTCCTAGAGATTCTTGAGTACTCCAGTTGCAATGCCAACAAAGACTTTATCCACATAACCAAAAGCTTCCTACCAAGCCTGAATGTTGAAGATGCAGTTTTTCCTCAAAACAGGCTAGCTTTTATTTCTTCCTGCAAGTTAAATACGCTGGTACCAAACCAGTCAAAGCATTCTAAATACTGACATAAGCATTTATTTTCTCACTTAAGAAAGTAAGATAGTTGGTTGTCAGCTTGGTTGCTAGTGACAGGTGTTTGTTCAAACTAATCAGTGATTGACCTGGAATGCTCCACACATCATTAACAAGTTAATATCCATATTACGAACATGTGGCCATAAAACAAAGGCCACTCCGAAAGCTCAGACTGAAGTCAGAATTCTTGATCTAATTCCAGCATTCATCTTCTGCTTCAAGGTACTACAGTGAGTGAAGAAAACAAGAAAGCCTATCCAACTGATTAATACAGATTTTGCAGTCTTGTAAACTACCTATTTATTGCTGTGTTGACAAACCATAATGGTTCACTGTTTCCAGAGGAAGAAGCCAGCACCATTCTCACCAAGATCCATGTATGCTGAGCGTTAATAGCCGAGATCATTAACTATGTAAGTTTTAAATATAAGACACACATTTAACGGCAATTTCCTTTTTATTTAAAAAAAGATGCAAAGCAAGCTAATGTGAACAGAAGCTTTCTTCTTCTTTTAATAGGAATGCCTACAAACACATGAAACCCAACAAAACCTGAACAGTTTACACAAAAAAAAAAAAAATCATTAATTTTTTAATTTTACTAAGCTAACCTCAGTAAGAAGTGTTATTTACTAATGCAGGTAGCACTGAAGTTCTTCTATTTGAACCGTTTGTGTGGTCAAATCAACCAGCACTTACATTTGTATTTGATGCAAAGTCATGGGACATGGAATTAAAGCAAACTAAAAAAAAAAATAATAGTAATAAAAAAAAAACAACCCGAAGTATTACAACTCCATGCCTTTATACCTTGATGTAAGACATTCAGTGTCCTCCAGAATTTCTGGGCTCTTCTCTGCCACAAGAAGTAGGCACAATACAGTTCTCGTATCTTAACCATACAGACATTTCAACCAAGATCTAGGCAACTGAACTAGGTATTATTTACAACCGTTGATGGAAACTGTTTCTTCTGCATCTTCCAGTAACTTAAAAAGTGAAAATAGCTGTCAATACTGTCAAATCTAGAATGTTTTATTCTAGAGCATCTTTTCCTCCTTTACAGCAAGCTCAACTTAACTTTCCGTGGACCAATTGGCCTATCATTCAGTTCATTAATAGCAGCCATAGCTTCCTCATAGTTTGTCATAGCAACGATGGCATCACCCGAAGGTAATCCTTGTTCATTGTACTGTACAGAAACCGACTCTGGTATCACTCTGTAGCCATAAAAAAAATCCAGAATCTCATTAGGAGTAGCTTTAAAAGGTAAATTTTTCAATCTAATAGGAACAACACGTTCAGAACCGCCACTGAAATTTGGATCTGGCATAAATCTTCCTTCAGGAAAGCTTCCCATTTTATTATTCCCAAACTCCATTCTGCCAAAAGGTTCACTGTCACCACCAAAATCCATGAGGGGTGGTGGACCTCTAAAATCCTTAGGAGGGCACATGAAGTCCTCAGGGGGGTGCCTAAATTCAGAAGGATGCCTAAAGTTCCCAGGGGGACCAAATGAATGCATGGGTGGTCCTTGTGGTGGCCCAGATGGTGAACCAGCTGGACGGGAAAGCTCACCCCTGTCATACGGATGTGAATGACCCTGCATTTCATTTGGTGCAGACAATGGGACAGTTACACCAAACTTCTGCATCTGCTCTTCAGATATAAGTCTTATTAGTACCTCCGTTCCCAAAAATCTTCGGCGATTTAAATTTTCTGCTTTCATGGCTTGTTCTTCAGATTTAAACTTCACTAATGCTTCTCCCAGCCCAACTCCTTTGTCATCATAGAGCAAGTAAATGTCATCTTCATCAATATCAAATCTTGCAAAGAACTTTTGCACTTCAATTTTTGACACATCAAATGGAAAATTCCTGACATAAACACAAATCTTAGGGCCAGAATGACCTTCCCGATAACTTTTTTCTGGTATGGCCTGTCCAGGATGATCTCTGTCCTGTGATCTCTTCCTCTCACAAGAGTCAATTATTTTCAACATTGACTTTCTTGAAACTGGAAAAATGTAAACAGGACGCGTGAGAAGAACCTTTCTATGACATTCCAAAGCAGCCTGATAATCTCTCTCACTCCTTAACATCACAAAGGCATCTCTAGTCCTCCTCTGATGCTTATCCGTTAGAAGCTTTATTTGTTTGCTGCATATATCCAGATCAGGGAAAAAAGCTCTCAGATCTCTCTTCTCCACATTAATTGATAGATTTCTTAAGTGTATGTAATATTCCTGGTTGGGAGATGAACGAGAT